ATAAGAAATCTATGCATTTATGGAAACATAGCTACAAACCCTTAGGCAAGCTAACAGAATGAGAATTTGGTCCCAATCAGAAGCTTTGTTTAATTTGGGCAGGTTTAGGTGAGTTCAGTAGTAAAAAATGCAGGGTGATGGACTACTTTGGTCCCTCTCACATAGTGGCAACACACAGTTCTCCATGATAGCCACACTTGCCTGCCATTGAAAGTATGCACACACCTGGGATGCAGGAGGCAGGGACTGGGTGACTATGTGAGTGTCATTGTAATCTTTTCCCACTGAATTTTGAGTAAGGAGTGAGTTCCAAGAACAGCAACAGGGGGATGTTCACTGAGGAACAGTGATGGTCTTGAGTTATGTGCTCACCTATCACTCCTCAACACACACACACAATTGCATGTGTGCACACATATGCTCATATGTGTATACACACATACACGTACACATACGTCTCTCTTCTCTGATGGTCCAGCTTCATCTCTTGCTAGAATCTCTTCTTGAAGTCTTCCTTGGTATAGTACATAGGTCCCGTGACCTTCCAGAGGCTGCCAGAGGAAGTGCACATAATTGGAAAGAGTGAACCAGTTTGTTGGACTTGGTCTACTCTCACCCACCCCTCCAACTCAAGGAGAGTACCAACTTTCCCAGGATCACCCTAAAGCAGGAGGATCCCATGGTGCAAGGATCTAATGGGAACAAACCTCAAAGAAGAGGCTGTTGTGTGCTCAGCCCAATCCCAGGAACTATATTTCTTTTGGGGATAGTTTTGACTTTTGAAACAAAGCCATTTGAAAACAAGCTTGAAGAATAACATGGCTATTAATGATCTAGTTTCCTGTGTCACTTACGTGGTGCTAAAAGCACTTCCAGAATGTTAGGCAAATATGTTTTGCAATGTATTGTTCCTTTTGTAATACTCTCTACACATTTATTAAGCTCCTACTATGTGCTTTACTACTACATTCTCTGTCGGTTTCCCCAATGTATTTTGAGGGTGTGTCAGGGAATAAAGATACAGAAACTTTGGTCTCAGTCCTTGAGGTGCCCACAGGCTGGTAGGGGAAATCTTTTGGCTCAAGTCTAAATGTCTAATTCTTGGCCATTTGCCTGCAAAGATTGAAAAAAGAACAGAAAAGTTGCTCTGGGTTGTTTGTAAAAATGGTTTGTGCAGCTGAAGCAAGGAAACAGACTGGAGGGCCTACACTCTCATTTAGGCTGCTAATCTTTTGAAGCTCTGTCCTGCATATGTTTTCTCAGTCTGCCCAACATTGTCAGTCTCATACTGGACCGAAGCACTAACACTGTACACTATTGGAGCAGGCACGCCAGTGGAGTGGCTGCTATCATGAGCCTCATCCCCTGGTGAGTCAGGAAAAGGCAGGTTTTAATCACTCCCAGTTATGGCCTGCAACAAGGTTTATTAATATTAGGTTAGCTACCTCCAAAAACAAACAGAACCCTGTTCTGGCATGGTAGAAGGAGGAAGTGAAAGAAAGATCAACTGTCGGCCCCTGATCCATACACCCGTCCCAACAACTTTCACTCTCCTTTGAACGCGTCTTGCTGTTCAAGTCTGTCTCTCTCTCCAGCTGCATTTGGATTGGACATTCTGCTGTGCATATTTAGTTTGTCCACCAGCTTTCAAGACCTGAAGAGCGTGAAACAAAAAGAGCCAACCATAATATTCAGGATGTGTGTAAATACAAGAATACACAATTTATTGCATTGTAATATTTAACTGTGTCCTCAATTTATTGATAGCTATGTTGAGGCCATCAATTTTAAGTGGGAAGACCACGCCTGTAATCTGAATTTTCCCTTGGAGCTAATTTTAATTGGCCTTTTATTGCTCACAGGCTTGTTCAATCTTATTTCAAAGCCTGAGACTCGAAAGGACATCTACTGGATCTAAGGTTGCTTTCAAGTTGATGGTCAAAAAGTTTTGTATCTTCCAATTTTTAGAATGGTTTCTAAAGATTCTGATTCAGAGCCCTTAGGATAAAATGACTAACCAAGCATCAAAGTAAAATTTTCAAAACGTTAAAAACATGACTCTCATACAAGTACTGTATATAGCGAGCTAGTGCATGGATCAAGGAAGGATTTAAGTCATTAAGGAGGGAGCAAGCAGGATGACAAAGTTAGGTCAAAGCAGGATACAGGGGAATGGAAAGTCAGGGAATGAAAGAATGCTAGAAGGCTAAAAAATCAGATATAAAATTGGTTAATGTCCTATTGGCCAATACAATCATAACTTTTAGGATTATCTTTTCTACTGGAAAGAATTCATTTGCATCTCTACTGGACAAAACCCTTATTAATGTATCAATCTTCTACAAGTGAAAGTCTAATTTTACATACCCTCGGCCGAATCAAAAGTAAATATTAAGTCAAAGTGATCTTTGCAAAAGCCACGCTGTCCAGTATGACAGCCACTGGCCACATGTGGTCACTGAGCACTGGCCAGGCTGAATTGAAATGTTTTACAACTGTAAAATACATACCAGATTTTGAAGACTTACCATTTAAAAAAAGAATATAAACTATCTTAGTTTTTAAAATATTGACTTCATGTTGAAGTGATGATTGTTTGGATATATTGAGTTAAAATATATTGTTAAAATTAAATTAACCTGTTTCTTTTTACTTTTTTACTTTTTTCAATGTGAAAACTTAAAATTAGTTCAACTAGAAAACTTAAAATTATATACATGGCTCACGTTCTATTTTATTGGATAGCACCGTCCTATCATATGACCCACAACTGGACTTAAACAATTTTCTAATACAGCTTGGAAAGACGTGAAGAAATATTTTTGTGCTGTTTTTAAGTTTTGGATAACTTTTCTCAACACAAATTACAGAGATCTGGAGAAGGGTTACTTGTTTCTCTGCCTTCTGGCCTCCACCACGTGGCCAGGAGGTTGGGAGCAAGACTGGGGGGCTGGTGTCCTAATGACTTGAGATCTGGGCTTTAGATTTGCTAGTAGAGAGGTGTGATTTGATTGATTCAACCTGAGTGATCCCATTAGCGAACCAAATCACAGTAACCAAATTTACATGTTACTGATTTATAAATCAGGACACCAATTTATCGTGAAGGGAGGTCCAGTGACCTGGTAATCAAGACTCCACACAGCTGTTTTCCTGATGGTTACACACACTTAACTGAGTTTCAGATGAGGAGGGTGCACAACGCACATAGAACCAGAGCAAAGTGACAAGTTCTTATTTTTTTACCAAAATGATGCAAGTGCTTTAGTTTTTTGTACACTTTCAATACTTTCTGACAATTCCTATACTCAAAGTCACACTGATGGACGGCAGCCCTACAGTGGTTTTCTATGGCTGCTAATTCATCTATCACTAATCTTATTAGGCAGTTAATTCCCAGGGGACGTGATCAGTAGTAGATACAGTTGCCAAATGTTGAACAAATGTTATTCAACGAAACCATGGGGTAATCCTTAGTCTAAAAGAAGATGCTTCATTTTTCCTTCATCACTGAACTTAATTTGCATAACCCTTTTGACTACTACAATCTAAGGCTGACATCTTTAATACATATTTTTATGCAGATGTATATTTGAACAGTAATTTCTGGTGAGTTGTAATACTTCCTTTGTCCCTAAATATAAATGTATAACTATATTAAATATATGAGCAGAAATTTTCCTTAGCCTTTTCTCTCTCAAAAAGAAAAAAAAGAAAGAAAGAAAGCAACGCTTGGAACCAAAGGGTGAAATATGAAGTAGCAAGCCTTAAAGTAGTAAGGCAAACTTTAGAATAGAATACATGTGGCCAGCTTCAGAGAGGCTAAGAGGTGAGCACATCAACAAAAAGTGGTATAATAATTAATATGTTCTAGTACTATTCCTCTATTTCTGTTTAAACTTTTGCCATATAAGTTTTTCTATTTCAAATCTATCGTGCATCTTATAAGTCAAAATGTATCTTATTAAAGTCAGCTGCTTTATTTTTATCTATATCTTTGAGTTCCCAGTTAGAGAGTATCCTATACCATGACATGGGTTAGATGATGTTATTTTCATGTGCTGAAATTTATCTCTTTATTGCAACATACAAAAATAAATAAATGCTTGTTTTCTTTGAAAACAGATCATCTCAATGTCTCTAGCTGCCAAGTCTACTGGGGGTTCTTTGCAGGCTTAGGGGGTCTTCTTTCTTCCTTTATTACCCCTATTCTTATTATCCCAGACCCCCCGCCTTGCACAACCCAGAGGGGAACCTGAGAGCTTTTTAAAAACAGCCCAATTTCTCGCCTTTGGAGAAGTGAAAAGAGTGCCCCGCCCCCATCTATGAAAAGAGGGATTTGATAAAGAGTTTCAATGTTTTCAAATCCAAGATTTAAGTCTTTAACCCCCCATCATCCAGGAACCCCCCCAAGGCTTCTGAACCCCCTCCCATCCCGCCCTAACTGCTTTGGACTGGCCCGGGAATCTCTGTCCCAGTCCACAGTTCCTGTGGGTCTGTACGCAGAATTCACAGAGGACCTGTGTTACTTCCCTTGCGAAGAAACAGAATTATCGTAAAAATTTAGGTGGAAACCATTTCATTTTTGTCCCCAAAAGAAGGGAAGGATGTGCCCAACCACCCCTGAGAAAAAGAACTTTCAGGGGCAAAGGAGCGAACAGGTAATTTAGAAGAAAAACAGAAAGTGGTCTCTGACTGCCCTGGACTTCCCTTGGAGTTGGGGGAGTTGGGGACGCCTGGACGCGTTGTCTTTGAGGTTGCGGACAAAATAAATGGAGAGCACGAAGCCTGAGGCTTCTCGGATCCTTTCCTGACCAAGCCCGGGTGATTTAGTGCCGGGCATTTTAATATTTTTCCCCTTTTGTGCAGTGGAACAAACACAACTTGGGCGCACAGCGGCGGCTCAGAGCCTGCCAGCCAGGCGGGCGACCGAAGCACCAATCAGCGCGCGCCTGCGCTCTATATATACGGCGGCCGGGCCCAGGCGCAGTTCCATCGGTGCTTTGCCACTTGTGCCCGAATTTTAGATCGTCAACATGTCGGAGACTGCTCCTGCCGCTCCTGCCGCCACTCCTCCTGTGGAGAAGGCCCCAGTGAAGAAGAAGGCGGCAAAGAAGCCTGCAGGGGCGCGCCGCAAGGCGTCGGGGCCCCCGGTATCCGAGCTCATCACCAAAGCTGTCGCCGCTTCCAAGGAGCGCAATGGCGTGTCCCTGGCTGCGCTCAAGAAAGCACTGGCGGCCGCTGGCTACGACGTGGAAAAAAACAACAGCCGCATCAAGTTGGGACTTAAAAGCTTGGTGAGCAAGGGGACTTTAGTGCAGACTAAGGGCACCGGCGCCTCGGGCTCTTTCAAACTCAACAAGAAGGCTGCCACCGGGGAAGCCAAGCCCAAGGCCAAGAAGGCGGGTGCGGCCAAGCCCAAGAAGCCTGCGGGAGCGGCTAAGAAACCCAAGAAGGCTACTGGGGCGGCCACCCCGAAGAAAAGCGCTAAAAAGACCCCGAAAAAGGCGAAGAAGCCGGCGGCAGCTGCTGTGGCTAAGAAAGTGGCCAAGAGTCCAAAGAAAGCTAAGGCTGCCAAGTCTAAGAAGGTCGCCAAAAGCGCAGCTAAAGCAGTGAAGCCCAAGACTGCCAAGCCGAAGGTTGCCAAGCCCAAGAAGGCTGCACCCAAAAAGAAGTAGGTTGACCATCTGCTTCTAAAACCCAAAAAGGCTCTTTTCAGAGCCACCACTGATCTCAAGAAAAAAAAGAGCTGAACATCTATCTGTTTACCTGCGTAGTTATTTTTCTCTCTTTCCACTTACTATACTAACGCAAGATTTGCGCGGGAGGGCTTGAGGACTGGACGCCGGAGATCAGGAGTTGGAGAGAGTGACGGCCGTAAGGTCATAGGACCTGGACCTACCCGTGTGGTTCGTCTCTTCCCTTTCGCTGTTTCTGGTCAGCCTCCCCGGTCAGCTGTTCGGGAGCGTTCTCGGGCAGCTGGCGTACTTCAGATCCGCCAGCCCCGCCTCACGCCTGTTGAACAGCAAAAACAACTGCAAGTAAGACTAGCCAGTCTCTGTCTTGAGGAATATCCCGATTGGGCGAAAAAGTCTTTTAAAAGTCCCGCCTTGCTCGCGGGTTGGCCCACTCCTTCAGCCCATGATTTTAATCCTGCATTTAATTGGATGGTGCCCGGCCCGCTGTTTGTTTATTGTTTCGTTTCTGTTGGGTTGAGTTTGCCTTTTCCCCTTGATATGGAAATACCTGGTCTTTTGGACACTTGACATGTTTTCGAAAGTCAGGCTGCTGTCTCCTGGGGTCGTAGGTAGCATCCATCCCTAGGAGGAGAGTGGCTGCAGGCGCCCTGCCCCGCATCCTTCTGTTAATTCCCGTTTGCCTGGCAACAAAGGAAGGCATCTGAAAAACAGCTGCGGCGGCGGCAACGACGCTCCCACCCAGGGCAATGCTGGACCGGGGATCTTTCTGTTCCTTGTATCCTGTAACTTTCGACAAAGGTGTGATTGATGGATTTGAGCGCATCAAAAACAACTTTTTGTCGGCCATTTTGTCCTGGCAGGCCGGTCACCGATCCTCATTTTAGATAGACTTCAGCATTTAAAAGTCGAAGACGCTTTAAAGGCATTTTTGTGCAGTTCAAATGTTTGTACGCGAAAAAGAAAAAAAAAAATATATATATATATATAAGGAAACTTGGAAATGTGTGTGGATGGGGGTGACGTTTCCAATAAAGGGCTTTAGTTTTCATTAACAGTGTCATCTGTGGATTCTTTCATAGTCATGGCGTTTCTCCTGGATAAATTCCAGCGTCCTGTTTTTATTCCGGTGGACACAGATTTTCTGGAGACAAGTGCCAGGGACAGGCTCTGGAGACCCGTTGCCACAATGACGAATCTAGTATGAGTTAATTCCCGCATTAGTGGTCGTAACCACGAATTTAATCCCGCCCCGCCCCGCCTCTCCTCTCCCAACCGAATTGAGTATTTTAATCTTCGTTTTCTTTATAATCAGTAGTAGAAAGACCTTCTCTTCTTTGACAGCACAACACATACAGGAGGAGGAAAGACAATTCTCCCTTGGTTTCTTCCAGTAATTTTGTGTTGTTAATTCTACATTTTAAAAAATAGCAGTCTGTATTTTGGTGTAAGGTTTAATATATGGATAATTTTTCCCCCAAGACCATTTATTAACGGTTTCATTTCTGCCTCCCCTGTCCGCCCAACCCTCATTTGAGATGCCGCGTTTATCAGAGGCTAAATTCCATGGATAAGTGGACTAATTCTTTATTTTCTAGTTTGTTCCTTTGGTCTTTCTCGCCATTCCTAAGGTGAGATCACATTGTTTTAAGTATTGCTCATGGCGCTATCTTCGATGTTAAGAAAAATACTGACCCATAGTAGGTCATGGTAGGTCACTCAAGTAACAGTTGAATGTTTAATAAACTGAGGTGTTATAATATGACTTAAATAGCTGGTAGAGCTAATTCCCTCTCATTACTCTTCTTTTTCAGAATTTCCTGGTTATTCTATTTCTTGTTTGATTATTTTGTTTTTCCATATGTACTTTAAGACGCTTCCCCCCTCCTACCCTTTCATCCTTCCATTACACATAAAACCTCAACACCCTATTGGTAGATTTATTGTAATTGTGCTAAATTTATAAACTAATCTAGGGAGACGAGTTTTCCTATTCGAGAACATTTTGTGTTTTTCCATTTGCTCAAATATTTTGTACCTGTGGAAAATGTTTTAAATTTTCTCCAAATATATCTTCACGTTTATTACTTTTTTTTTTTTTTTTTTTTTTTTGGGAAGATTTGCCCTGAGCTAATATCTCTGCCAATCTTCCTCTATTTTGTATGTGGGTTGCTGCCACAGCGTGGCCACCAACGAGTAGTGTAGGTCTGCACCTAGGAACTGAACCCAGGCCACCGAAGTGGAGCTTGCAGAATACTTAACCACTAAGCCGTAGGGCCGGCCCCGATTCCCAGATATTTTATCTTCTTCGTTGCTGTTGGAAATGGCAGCTTTAGATTCTTTGAGGGCCAGCATTCCATGAAGTGCACATTAAAGATACTCGGTTATTGAAGGGATCTATGCATAGGTGAATTAACAGTCTCTAGAACAGTGCTGTCCATGGCTACACAAATAAGGAAAAAAGAAACAGGTGAAATCAATTTTAATAATATAATTTAACACAATATATCCAAATTATTATTTAACCTAAAATCAATGTAAAAATATTGAGATATTTTACATTCTTTTTTGTTTCTCATACTCTTTGTTTTTTTGTGTGTGTGAGGAAGATCAGACCTGAGCTAGCACCCATGCCAATCCTCCTCTTTTTGCTGAGGAAGACTGGCCCTGAGCTAACATCCATGCCGATCTTCCTCCACTTTATGTGGGATGCCGCCACAGCATGGCCTGACAAGCGGTGCGTCGGTGCATGTCCGGGATCCGAACCCGGGACGTCAGCAGCGGAGCTCGTGCACTTAACTGCTACGCCACGGGGCCATCTCCTCTCACACTCTTTGGAATCTCTGTATTTTACATATACAGCACATCTCAGTTCACAGTAGCCTGTTTCAAGAGCTCAGTTAACCATATGTGGTTCATGGCGACGATATGGACAATGAAACTCTAATGCCCTCTGGTCTCAACTATCCTGGTCTTCCCCAACCTCATCTTTGGTTTAAAGCTTGAATGCCAGTATGTCTTAATATATACTGTCTTCTGGGGACTAAAATTTGAGGGAGAAAAGGTGTCTGACCTCAAAGGATGGTTGATTGGTCCAGAGGTCATTGGACCAATTTGAACTAATCAAAAATTTCCTGTTCAAAAACTCGAGTTGAGTTATGGAAACTGAGGTGACTGGGAGCCGCCATCTTAGACACTGTAGGAGAAACCAAGAGATCTGGTGGATAAAAAGAGTAGAATGGAGCCAGAGTGAACGGAAGAGCAGAGGTGAGATGTATAGAGCTGCAATGTCTGGGTTCCTGACATCTCCTGAATTCCTGGTTCTTTGAGTCATCTAAACTGCCACTGGGGCCACCTCACTTAGCTCAGGTTGGGTCAAATTGCAGCAACCAGGAAACCTAATGAAGACACTCCAAATACAATCACAGTTTGTGCTTACAGTAAGAGCACCATGCACTTCCATGTTCCTTTTCTCCTTCAGATACTTAGAAGTTCACCTACTTGCTTGATTTCTCACATCAACTCTAAGAGTTAGGCAGGGGAGGAATCAACCTAAGCATAGAGAGTTGATTCTCTAATTTTCCTTCAAACTTCTTGTGTACACCCTTTCGGGTGTCAACTTATTGGGTTTACATTTCAGCCTAACATTGAATGTCTCCTGCAAACAGATTTGTGTAGATGAAGGATGTCCTTCACTTTAAAATGGAATGTAATCCTCAAAAACAAATATAGTCACCCTTCTCCAGTACGGGGGGAGGAGAGCTCATTCACAGAGAGCTAAAAGTTATTATAAAAATGTCTACTTTTACCTAGCCTTTAGATACAGTCTTCAACAATATGTTTTCTCAGGTTTGTCAATCTTCTTTATTTCTATTCCATTTCCTAACAATTGTTCACATGGTTGGCCAGCTTAGGTCTAATAAGCGATTCATTTGAGTCTAAAAATTGACTCTTTTAAGAAAAAGGTCCTTGTCTTGATTTTATTTAGTTTATGAAAGCTGTATTTTATTTTGACATGAATATTATCCTTTTATTATAATTTATTATAATATTATCCATTTATTATAAAATAATATTGACAATGGCAATAATATATTCAAATATTTGCCCAAACATGGCTGATTAACCAAAAATGGCAACAAATACTGCATAAACTGCTGACTGATAATTCAACAATGAAAATTCATGAAATGTCCATGTCCAATAGAAGTAAGTACCACAGAAATTAAGGGCTACTCGTAATGCATTATTCTAAACTTTCTTTTCTGTACATATGTACACAGTGCTCTCATGGCTGAAAAATTGAATATCCTATTACTTACCCTAGGTGAAGCTCTAGGTGTCATTTCTTCTATGCCTGAGGGAAACATAGAAGGTAATTTTGTGGTTGAAATCCATGCCAGAGATGAACAAGTCCAGTACAAGGCAGGATTACATCATTAGAGGATTTCAGAAGAGAAGAGGGATTTAGGGCACAGTGATAACAACAATAGCATTGAGAGCTAGCATTTCTTGAGCACTGATTTACGACATGTCGAGCACTGTTGCTGAGCACTCTACATTTATTTTCAAACACATTCTTGTCATAGCACTTTGAGGTAGGTGCCATTATTGCTGAGGCTTGGGGACGTTATGGACGTAGCTAGTTAGTTTCTGATCAGTGAGTCAGTATAATTATCTTCTATCTACTCGTGCTCAGAAATATAGTAAGAGCCACACAAGTAATTTAAAATTATATAGTAGCCACATTAAAAAAAAGAAACAAAGTCTATTATATAACATTTTAACCCACTATAATCAAAATACTACTTCAACAATAATATAAAAATATTAAGGAGACTTTTTGTTCTATTTTTCATATTAATTCTTTGAAATCTAGTACATATTTTACAGTTAAAGTTCATCTCAATTTGGACTAGCCACATTTCAAGTGCTTTATAGCCACATATGGCTAATGACTACCATCTTGGACATTATAGCTCTATGGTAAATACTGTGAGGAAGATACAAGCGAATACTGCTCTGGAGCAGAATCCAGATGTTTCCAAGGA